AGATCCGCTTTCCCCCCCCCTTCCAGATCAGCCCTTAAATCTATAGTTTTACTATATCAATATTGCATATTTGTGATGCATATGCTAAAGAACTGTGCTTTGGACTTTATGTTTACACCAGTGTTTCTCAACCTTGGCGACTTTAAGTCCTGTGGACTTCAACTCCCAGAATCCCCCAGCCAGCACAGCTGGCTGGGGAATTCTGGGAGTTGAAGTCCACAGGACTTAAAGTCGCCAAGGTTGAAAAACACTGCTATAACTGTCATAATTACAAGTTGGTGCCAATAGCCCAAATTGTGATCATGTGGTTACAGGGCTGTTGCGATTGGCTGCAACTTCAAGGACTGGTTCTAATTCTCTTGTACAGCATCATTGTAATTTTGAACAGTTTTTGAACAATATATTTTTAACCATGGACTACCTATATCAGTGTTGGCGAACCTTTTCAGCACCGAGTGCTGAAACAGGAGAGTGCACGTGCATGCGCATGTGCCGGAAACTGGAAGAACAGCTGCATGGGGCTGCATGTGCACCCACCACCTGGTTTTCTGGTTTCCAGCCCTCCCACACGTGAAAACCAACTGGCACGTCGGAACCCGGAAGAGCAACGGGCGACAGCTCTGCGTGCCACTTCCAGCACACATGCCATAGGTTCACTATTATGGACCAATATTGTTCAGTCTAGATTGTTTTTCTGGATGTGATTGGAAAGGCTACTTTAGATCCTTATATCTATTATGTTAAATGTTGGAGATTTTTAAATATACTCCTTTTAAAATAATTAGATTCTGGTTTTCATTCCTGAAGTTCAAAAAATGTAATTGATTGCTCTATTTCCCCCGGTAAAGAGAGGCTAATTTTTAATCTTTTTCCTTGTTTATTTTATTGTTATTATTTGCTTTTGCTTTGTTTAAATTTACTTTTTATTTCTTCATTTTTTATTTTTGTGAGCCACCTAAAGTAGCCCCATGGTGAGATGTATAAAATAAATAAATTAATAATAATAATAATAATAATAATAATAATAATAATAATAATATGTGAATGCAGCAAAATCGCAACTGGCCGCTGTGATACAATTGTATAATAATAATAACAATAATAATAATAATAATATGTGAATGCAGCAAAATCGCACAAACTGATTACAAAGCTAGACANACCAATCGGTAACCAGTGCAGCTCGCGGAGGATAGGTGTAACGTGGGTGTACCGAGGTGCACCCACAATCGCTCGCGCGGCTGCATTCTGGACAAAGTCTCCGAATGCTCTTCAAGGGCTGCCCCATGTATAGAATAACAAGAGAAACAAATACACAAATGTCAAAAGCATTGTTCAAATGCTCAACTAAAATTATTGCTGCAAAATCCAATCAGGGTTGGTCACCAGGACAAGAGGTTTAGTCTTCCAAACTTTCAGACTCGTGCTGAAGCCCATCCTCAGACATTTCTCTCCTGAGTACAAACTCTCCATGTGTACATTCTGGTAAAGACACGTTCCCTAGGGATGGGCTCCAGCACAAGTCCAAAAGTTCAGAAGAATAAACCTCTGGTCCTGGTGACCGATCCAGGTTGGATCCTGCAACATTATCCCAGGACATGTATATTTGCCTTCATTTATGGCATTATTGTAACTGGAAATAACAATTAATTGCTACCCAATTTCTTATTGAAAATATAACCCACAACAATACTTGAGCAACATTTTCTTATAATTCTTTAACAGTGATTTCTCAAAGACGTCAAACACCGATACTGTATGTTAAGATTCAATACATTAGCAATCAGTGATATTATCTTCTAAGACTGTTTTCTAAATTTCACAAGGAACAATCCATTTCCTTATTTCTTTGATATTTTCAAAATGCTTTCCAGAATCAAAGAGAAAAAGAAACAACAAGAAGCCTTCTATATTAATGATTAGATTCAAAACAGTTAAGTACTCATGCACTGCAAATCATAAGAGGAAATTTTCAGCACAATTTCTAGCACAATGTTTTGCCTAGTAGTTGAGATATCATTCAAAATTTAACATAGGACTTCTGAAGTTAATGCAAAAAATATTATCATGGTATTTTAAATACAGAAATGGAACAGTCAGAAATTCATAATATAGTTTGTTACTAGAAATTTGTATATGCAAGTTACTGTTTTTTTCTGGCAATTTATAATAACTAAATATAGCAGAAAAAAGTTAAATGAAGCCAATATAATGAAACACAAAAATCTCAAGAACAGTTCCAAAAATTAGCAGCTCAAATACCAGAAAATCAGGTCCAACACATATTTTCCTAGAAGAAAGCTGCACATACTGGCACTTCGAAGTAACAATGCACAGAATTGTATTTAAACAAAACAGTTAAGAAAAAAAGAATCCAAAATTATAATCCTATTCAAGTTCACTGCTATTGTTGAATTTATAATTTACTGCTCTAAGAGATGCTAAATAATACATATGAGTCTATTCCCTTCCAGATCTATCCTTCATACATAACTATATAACTCTGTTAGATATATATTTAGTGTCTGGTCCAAGGCATGA